AAAAAAAAAAAAAAGATCTGCATCAAACATAAGACACTGCTCAGCTAGAGGACAAGGCAATCAGTGTTACCCACAACCCTGGAGATTCCCAACACAAATCCTAAGCAAGACAATCTACAAATAGATAACGCAGTTGCCTAAAGAGAAAGCCCAGGCTTTCTTGTTTGAAGCCTCCGGGACCCTTTAAATAAGACAGAATGCACAAAGCTCAAATTCAGGTGTTTAAACCTTTCAGAAGTTTCCTGTATGGCAGAATCGAACATTTCTGATGCCGCACTACACACCTGTAGCAATAGCTGCTACTATTTACCCCAGTGCTCACAGTCCATATGCCCCAAAGCTTTTCTCCTCCATTCACTGTCAACTCCTACACAGGACGAGTAAAGAAGCACTTCCCAGGCAGGCACCAACGTGCCGCAGATCTTTACGCTTTGGGGCTCCCAATCTAGCACCTCCAGAGAGACTTGCATTCAAAACAGATGAAAATTTACAGGCAAACAGATCTGTATTGACAGTTTTGATTCATAGCAGAAAAGCAGTTTTTTCCCTCAGGCTGACAGTCATCCAGGCTATAATCTATCCAAAACCAAGTATATTTTCAGCTCTGTGACAGTTTTCCCACCACAAGTCCACGCAGCAGTCAAACCTGTACTGTTTAGCTACCTAATTTTATAGAAGAAAGAAAAGCAAGTACTTTTCACCAACTCGTTGACTGCGACCACACTGTAACACACAAAACTACTTAGGGGATCCATCTGTCAAAACCAATTAAAAGGTGGTATTTATACACGCTTAGAGAAGACGCGACCTCAAATACTAACAGAATTGCTCTTTAAAAAATATCAATGTTAGTCCATGTTTAAGAACATACAAATCTAATTCAAGAAATTATTTTTGAGGCCAGAGAGGGTAAGAGGGTCAAAACCCCTTAGCCCTGCGCAAGTGAAGATGTGCATTACAGTGAAGTGGCTTTTTCCATGACAGAACAAAGCACAGCTGCGGAGCAGGCACAGACCTACAGAAGAGGCTGGCAAATGAAGAAGGTGTTCTAACACAGAGACCACGCAGGCTGCTTTTTCCATACAGGCCTGATAGTTATTATATCAATTAAAGGAAAAAAGATGATTGCTTTCTGATGTTTCTACAGCTACAGATTTCACCTATTACATTGGTTTTTAAAGAGGAATAGATAAATAAAATTTATGAAGCTTTTCTACAATCTCCTGTAAAAATTGAAGGGAAGGGAACACAGAGCAGGAACAAAGTATTTCCTATTAAATAGGCTTGCTTTGAAATTGAAACACAGAATCTAGTCTATGAATTTCCACAGAAACACACAGCTGTTGAAGACACTCAAAAATTTTAGTCTCAATAGCTTTTTACTGAGTAGACTACTACTGGAGGTCAATCCATTTTAACCACAGCTGCAGTGAAATATAATCTGTGCATGTAAGAACTCACAGTAAGAATGCAATATTTTAATTATACTAAATAAAAGAACAGATGTTGCAGGAGAAATTACTCTAACATCATATAGTCTTTAACACAAGCTCTTTTTAAAAACACATTAATGTAATCTGATTTTTTTTTAGAGCAATTCATTAAATGCCCATCATCTGGGCTACCAGATACTCTTACCAGTCTGTTTAACATTGTGAAGTTCAGTCTTTGGAAGGAATCCAGCTAAGCAGGAGCCAGATGCCTATGCGTATATTGCATTAAAATATCTAGGAAAGACAAGGAAGTTTCATTCAAAGGACATTTGTAAATCACCAGGCTTGCCTGGAAAGCCTTTATTACGTGTGTAAGCCATGCCCTCCTCTGCAGGCTGTGACGCTTACGGCAGATCACCTCAGCAATGTTTTCCTATACAGAACACGTAGCACAGCATGTTTCTTATCAACAGTTCCATACTGTAAAAGAGATTTGATTGCTTAAATCTTCATTTAAATCTATTTCACAATTAAATAGGAGGGAAACAAAGGACCCACAAGGTCTAAACAATGAAGACTTCAGGACTGTTCAGTGCTCTCCAAGGAGAGAATTCAACTGGTCATCCAGAGAGGTCATAAAGGACTCAGAAATTCAGATCTGTAAGTTAGTTTCAGGGTAACACCCTTGTTTTGATGTTTTCCCTGAAATCATTAACTTCTGCCATGCCTTTTGCTGAGTTCTATCATTTTCACTGTGTCAGTGTTCAAAGTCCCAAGTCAGGACTGTAGACCCAAGCACTACACAGTAACAGAGGGAGGAAAACGCAAAGCAGACCAGTACCACCGAGCAGCGTCGCTTCCCGCTGCGCTATGCGACATGCCGGCCGTCGCAGCACAGAGCACATTACGGTCTGGAAGGAGATCCTGGCTCTTCAGAGCTCGTCTACGCAGGAGACCCACACCAAGGCACAAACCGGCATGAATCAGTCTGGATCGCACCTCTCAGGTGCCAACAAAGATGGCTTTACACCAACTTGCTTTCTGGACCCCTGGAAGCTGCTCTAATTACTGCTGTCAGGTGGCTGATCCACAGCCTACAATTACAGGCACTTAAGTCATAGTCCAAGACATGGAGTGGCATTTATAAACCCCCTGGAGCTCGTGCACAAGCAGGTTTTCAGCAAGGGGCTGCTGCCAGCACCGTGCCAGATGAGAATGGCGCAACAAAACAGCAGACAGATTCTGTACCAAGGGGCTCGCGGCACTCTTTGATACAAATGAAGTCCCAAAAGCAACTGAAGTCAAGGAAAGTGAAAGTTTTGGTGATATAAGGGCATGGCATCAGATTAGACAACGGTCTTGCCTCACAGTAACTTAATTTCACATAGGAAATAATTACTGTACGTATGTCACAGCCATGCCACAAATCTTTATTTTTTATGAAGTGGACAGTGGACATCAGCACAGGGGAAGGGACACCAGAGAAGAGAGCCAATGGTAAGGAAGAGCGCAACGGAGGAACCACGCAGCACGGGAAGCTGAACGGACCAAAAGGCCTAAGAGCATACAGGGCAGAGGGCAGGGAGCCACAATCAGGAGGTACCTGAAGATGTGCTACTGCAGAAAGGGCTGGTCTGTCAGTCATGGGAATGTGTGAAGGTGGCAGCATAGGCACGTAAATACCCACTAGGCTTCCCACAAGGGCTACTGCAGCAGCCAAAGCTGATTCTGCCAGCAAACTGGCACCTAGGCCGAGAGTGTTTGAACTTGTTCTGCCACTTGATATCCCACAAGACTCCAGTGGGAGCCTGGACTCTGACACAGACCTCAAAGTTTGTAAGTATAGGTTTGCATGACAATAACCCTAAAAAGAAACGAAACTCCAGGTCCCAAAGTTATCCCATTCAAAGGCAAGATTCCAAATCAAGAATTCAACTTCTCATTTGCTATGTGAAGTATTAATCTAGCCTTGTATTGTTTTTTCAACAACTACGACTGTGGTACGTCTTGTAATGAGAGTCACTGTATGCCAATAATTAAAATGAAAAAAATCCCCTAAACTCCTATTTCTGCTGTAAATGTGCCCAACTTATATATTAGCATCTACAGCAAGTCCATGAGCCTTCATGCGCACAAATCTGCACAACTGGCTCCAGAATCCACATAGCCAGTTGCACGCTGTTTGGATAAATGTCACAAGAGTACTATATGTGGATGATTATAATTACCAATACACTGATGCAGTTATTTTCCTGTGCATACCGACCCTTTCAATTATTTATAGAATAATTTGTGGCATATAACATTACTCCACTTTGACTTAGGAGAACATTTCACAATGCCTTAGGCTGCCTCAGGACAGTTAAGGTATGTTTGCTTAAGAGAATCACATGGACAGTTTTCAGTTGCAACTTACGGTGACTTTGAATGCTGCTGTAAGAGACAACTGTGCACCCACAGGTGCAACACAAGATGAGGTAGTTCCTTTGCAAACATGCTGTCAGCTACTATTGATTTTTATGCCAATTTTTGAATTACGCTGAAAACCTTCGGTGTACATCCATTTATCATCCTACCAGTGGCATGCTTTTAAACAGGCTAGTTTAATAAACCCCTTTGGCACATGGACTCTTTTTAAAGGCAGCTCAGATATTTTATTTTCTTTTCAAGAGTGAAAGGACAATGAAATTAGAAAGAGATCTTTGTAATGAAAATTGCTTCATACAAGATATTCCTTCCAATTACAAGCTATTAACGCAATAAAATATTTCCTGGCTTGACACTAGTTCCTACGTATTACACTGTATATCAAACACTTATCCAGTACGTACTCTTTGATGCAGCTGAACGTGTTCCATTCCAGAGGCACGCATCACTACACTACATCCCAACTACAGTTTCTTTTTCACTTTAAGAACCTTTGATCAGCCAAGCTATGTAATTACTCTTAAGCGTGGTTAGGGTGTCTGCTGCAGTGCAGGGCCATACAGCAATTTTTTTTCTCTCTCTCTCTAGGGAAAAGCACATCAATTGCTTTCAGCTAAATGCACTCACATATGAATATTTTAGTACAATTTAATGTTTCTGCACCAACCCCAAAGGAGCAGAGCATCAATTTGTGAACATAGTTTTCTTGGAGTTAAAAGCTACACTGGATAATGCAGGATGAAAGGGGTTGTCAATCCTTACCTTTTTAGCATGTCAGAGAAAGGCAGTCTGTAAATTCAGTCCCAGCTGCATACAAACAGCTCTCTAAAGTTTGCCACTATAAAGCTACTTTTCAACAATAGTGAATTATCAGAGAGATCTTCCAAAAACAATTTCCCAAGCATGGTCACTTTTCCCAACGCTGTTCCCACCTGCTAGCTACCTAACAGCCTCGGCCATTTATGCAATGAAAAGTGCACCTGCTGGTCTGTTAACAAACCCCACAAACGTAATGTACAGGTAACACATTCCTACAAAGAAGCTAGTTGAAGGTAGGAGAAATTAAGGAAAGTACCATGTGTCTGAATACAGAAGCTTCAGTATCTCAATATTCTCTTGTACGTGTAACAAATTAGGAAGTAATGAAGATCTTACCATTGATAAGCAAGGAGTAGAACATTTGCAAAGGGAGTACAATCAAGATGACAGGAATGACACTTCTCATGAAGCTAAGGGAATTAATTAGCTCGTTCTGCTGTTAGTAATTTTAGGTAAGAGCCAGAGAACAAAAAGGAACAGAAATACACCTTGTTT